TGGTGAGCAAGAAAATGAAAGTGCATTCGACTGCAGGTGTAGCAGCAATTCTAGGCAAAGGCTAATTTGATCCTCTATACCAGGGGTGTCAAACTCACATCATGTGACGTGTCGTGACGTATAATGACTTTTTTGCCATTGCCGACAATGGGGTGGGCATGGTTTCGCTATGATGCATCCGGCCCGTGGGCCGGCCGTTTGACACCCCTGCTCTATACTTTTCCTTGGAAGAGAGCTGGCTTGCTGGCTTCTTCGTGTTCCTTCAATGGCCTTTAATAAATGGGCTACTAAGTCCTACATGGCTTGAACACCAACTGAAACATCAACTGGTCCAGAATACAGCAGCATGCACAGTTATTTGGGGGGGGGAGGTTTGTCCGTGCACTGGCTCCCAGATTCTTTCTGGGTACAATGCAAAGTGCTGCTCATCACCATTAAAACCTTACCTGGCACAGGGTCAGGTTATCTGTGGGACCAATTTCTCTAAGAACATCTAACCATCCTATCAGAGCAAATGGGGTGTGCATGCTCCTAGTTCCTTCCCCTAATTCCTCATCTTATGGGAATTAGGAAATGTGCTGTTCCTGAAGCAGCCCTTGACCTATGGAAGACACATCCCGTGGCAGGCCTCCCTAGCCTTCTGTAAAGTTATGAACACCTGGCTTTTACTCCCAAAGCCCTGGGATAAAATGAAGTGACTGTACGTCAGAAGTTTGACTTTGATGCCAGGTTTTTGTTTTCAATGTGTTTACTTTTTATAGATTTAATATGGTTTTTATGCTGTTTTAACTTTTGATTGTGAGCTGCCCAGAGTTGGTTATAAGAGGGGTGGCTATAAAAATGTTTTAAATAAATATGTGTGTATATACTTTGTAGATTCTTGTGCTCTGCGATAGGCAGATATTCTGCATAAATATGATATCTTGCCTGTAATAAAACAGATTTTTTATGAAGCTTCTGCATTTAGCTGTTAACTGGATGCAAAGAGACTTCCAGACAGACATTTTTTTCCCCATATCTGGATAAAGCCTGGCACTTGACATATGATGCAGTCAATGAGGAGAATCAGGGAACGTAACTCTTCCAAATCTGAGACAGATACAGAAAGAGACAGACACAGTCTGTCAAGTAAAAATCTAATAAGCAAATAATTTGTTCCCAAGATGATGCACTATTGAACTTGGTAGGTGGGTGTTTATGGGCTCTGAGTCTATTTCATGAACATCATGAAAACATGTAGTAGGCCAAAGCAAGAACTTTTTGTCCATCTTAGTTATCTGTGACAAAGATCCTTAGTTTTAAAGAAATCAAAAGTGAGCCAGACAAAATCTGAAAAGTATTGAGTGTTGTCTAAATGTTAAGAAATAAACTGAGAACATGTGCTCTGCCTTGATAACATGCATATTATATTTACAACAGAATTTTTTTTATATAAAAACTGGTTTGGCAGAATTTAAGCCTCTAGTGTGCCAGAGATTAAATAAACTTCTGGTCTCACCATTAAACCAAATATTATTGATAACAGCAAATGAGAGCAAGACCAATTGAAACGTTTCTCTTCTTCATTGTAAGGTGGCCCTCACATTTAATAAAAGCGACATTAAAAGAAAAAGTCAATTTAGTATAGTGGTTAAAGGCATCAACCTATAAATGGAAGATTGTGAGTTCTAGCCCTGTCTTACACACAAAGTCAGTTGGGTGACTTTGAGCCAGTCACTCTCTCTTAGCCCTAGGGAGAAAGCAATGGCCAATCATTTCCAGAAAGGTTGCCCAGAAAACAACAAACAAAATACTTATCAAGAAGAGTTGCTCTAGTCTGGGCTCCATCCATATGCAAAAGCTGATCTGATCCAACAGAGGGGCGATGCTCCCCTCTGCACAATATATAGGGCAGTGATGGTGAACCTTTTAGAGACCGAGTGCCCAAACTGCAACCCAAAACCCACTTATTTATCGCCGGGTGCCAGGTGGGCATGGCCCAGTGGGTGGGCGTGGCTGTGGTGGTCATGGCAGACTGGGTGGGTGTGGCCAAGGTGGGTGTGGTCACCTCAATGTTGCTTATGGGGAGGGATGCTTGTGGAAGCCAGGCAGGGTTGGGGGAGATCCAGGGGGTCTCTGGCAGGTGGGGCTGTGGGCAGGACGCTTGCCCTCCAGGGTGAGGCGAGGCAGGGCCGGGGTGCCATTGTCGCAGGGCAAGGCTAGGCAGGGGCCGGGGTGGCTGCTGCCTGACACCATTGACCCCCGCACACAGAGGCCAGCGAGCACATGGGGCCGACAGTGTCCGTCAGCAACCACAGCCTACTGGCCCCTCAACCGGCGCACTCTGGTGCGCTGCAGCCCACTACCAGCAGTTCAGAGAAGCTGCCTGAGCTGGAAGGCCGGCCGACAGTTGAGGAGACTATACAGTGGGTCGTAACCAGGAAAAGGAGAGTGTGTGAGGCCAGGAGGGATGGGACAGGGGGGAGGGAAACCAGCTGTGCTGGCATACATCCAACCACATGGGACCTCGGCGAGTTAGCAGGCAGCTGGTTGAAGAAGGACGGTTGCCATCTCCGGGGCATGGCGTGCGTGCCCACAGAGAGGGCTCTGAGTGCCGCCTCTGGCACGCATGCCAGAGGTTCACCACCACTGATATAGGGTGTAGGGCTTCATGCCCAAGCAGGGGATTTGACTAGAAGATTTCCAAGGTCCCTTCCAACTCGGTTATTTTGTTATTCCTATGAAGTTTGCAGAATTCTTCATAAGCTGAGCTGAGCTAAAGTGATTAACTTTGAGAAGAAGCCCAAAGAAACACTTTAAATATCCCTTTGCAGTATTTTCTTTGGGACTGTGGTGCAGTTGTTTTTCATTTGCCTCCCAGATCCTCAATACCCCCCTTCTTCCTTGAAGTTGAGACACTATAGTTGCATCTCCACATCACAACCAAATTATCTGAGCGGTGATGAACATGTAAGAAAAGAGTACCAGTTGGAATGTTGCTATTTTGATTTTCCCATTGGCCAGTTGGAGGGTGAGCAGATTTGCTTGTGGGTCAGGGAAAATGCAAATATAAGAATTTGTTAGAAAAAGGTGATGTACAGCCTCCCCCCTCCCCCCCTCCAAACTAGCTTTTTACATTTAGGAATCTTATTCCCCCATGCTTGCAATGCTAAATAAGGCACTTTTTAATTATATAGCCACACCTTATTCAAACAACAAAAAGGAACAGGTACATTCTAAACATTTCAAACATTCTTAGCATTTAAGCAAATAAAGATGCCTGTGCACAAAAAAAATGTTACTATACAATTTACCACTTGGTGTTGTAATGTGAATTAGAGCCAATGCATTGTTGCAATGAGTATGCAGTAACAGCACAGATGTTATAGGAGAGCATTTGTGTCAAAAATAGTGCTGAAATAAAGACCTGTAATTTACTTCTCAAGCTTGGGGAGATACTAGAAAAATCAGGACAATATTGCCCTCCATTGGCAAGAATGTTTATATACAAAAACACTTTGATCGGTTTATTTTTTATGATGTCAATTGCAAACTCTATCTATAAATTAAATTTCCATGGCTTGGTGCCACTTTAGAAATGGTACAATAATTCTGCTCACAGAAGACAGTTTGCTGAGGTAATATGTTACTTCTGTATGTCTATGGAGATTCTCAGTCATCTAGGTCACAGTTATCCCAAAGGTGCTTTTTCACGAGGCAACTGGACTTTCTTGTTTTTCTTTGAAGACGTTTTGCTTCTCATCCAAGAAGCTTCTTCAGCTCTGACTGGATGGTAGGGATTGTGGGAAATTCCCCACCATCCAGTCAGAGCTGAAGAAGCTTCTTGGATGAGAAGCAAAACGTCTTCAAAGAAAAACAAGAAAGTCCAGTTGCCTCGTGAAAAAGCATCTTTGGAGTGTTATTTCTGTAATTGTTCTATGCTGGCACCTCATACAACTTACACTTAAATGTCATAATGGTTTCATGCAGATGTGGGAAGTAAAGCCTTGAGGTATGCTACCTTAGCAGGAGCCTAGGGCTAGACTCCTCCCCTCCGGCTAACACTGACAGGAGCTGAACATGGAGGAAGAAAGAACTACCGTAATACTATGTGTCCCGCCTCTAATTCCTAGAGCCTGTCCAGAATTATCCCATGTATTGATAGTATGTGAAGCCACTAAAAGATCAAAGAGAGCTAGGATGGATGGATGCACCATTCCCAGGAGGGTCATTGTCAAAGCTGTCCCAGTACTATGGCCTTCTCTGAACCCAGATTTAATGGGTCCAATAACCTTCCTCCAGAGGTCTCTGGAGCTCTAATGTGACAACCCCCCCCCCAACATCCTTCCCTGAAAGAGGAACTTGAAGACAGCACAAAAAAATCAGGTTGAGGAGGATGTGTGAGAATCAGCAGGGTCTATGAATGGCTGTTGCACTGTGAGTGCAGAGGGGATGGGGGAGAGTGCACAGGCAGGAGACATATATCTCAGTAATTGATGACCTTCTCTGCCGGCTTCCCCATTAACTCTCTAGGAATCCTGGCAGAAAAGATAGCAAATGATGGTCACAGGATTGCGGAGTGCTGCAATCAGTCATAAGCATAAACCAGCTGCCGAGCATCCAGATCACGATGGTGGTGGGGGCATTGGAAGACTAAAGACCAGTTGTAATTGCCATTTGTTTAGTGTCATTGTAACTTGAAATGGTCACTGAATGAACAGTTGTAGATCAAGGACTGTCTGTATATTTAAATATGTAAATTAGATAACAAAACACGGAACGAGCAGGGGACAAGGTAAAGCACGAAACATCCTTCAAGGCAGAACACGCATCGTCCTCCAAGGAGAATTATGTGAGCCAGATATCTTGGTCTGAAAATGAGCATCTTGCTCATACTTGGACCATAGAAAAATACAGCTGCATTCATTCATGATACCAAATACGTTTACAGTACATGCTATTATGATGATAATTCCATTCATTTTCAAGACAAATTAGACCAGGTTAGTGAAATATCCTACCTTGTGTTGTCCCATCTAGTCCCATGACGCATTTCATTGCTCTTATAATTTGTTCTGCTACAGGAGGAGCCATAGATGTGGCATAAATTGCACTATGTGAATGAATTCGTAGGTAGTCCACTAATTCCTTAAATCAAAAGAACAATATTTCAGTCTGGTCATCAAAAACCCTCTTCTGCTAGAATAAAAGTTTGGCAAATGAGATAAATAGCCTTCTTCCTGTGCATAAAATTGCAGCTGGCATGATTTAATTTATCACCGCATGACAATTAAATTTTTGTCCCCTTATCATTGAATTTTTCTCCAAACATGTTTAACAGTTAAGACAAATAAAGAAACAAAATCAGTACATGGCAAGAAAAATGTATTTCCAAATTATCTTGAAAAAACACAAAATGCCTTATCTTGATTTTATTCAAAAATAGTACGTGTATCATATACCCAGAAGAATGAAATAGTGCTACTTGGCCAGAGCAACAATGTAGGTCAACTCACAAGCATGGTGGGTGGTAGCGTGGCCGATGATTTTAGCATTGCTCCAATCGAACTGGTGTTGTTTGGTGTTGGTGTGGGTAGAGATTAATGCCACGATCCCAAATCCTTAATCTCTATCCACACCAACACCAAACAACACCAGTTCGATTGGAGCAACACTAAAATTATCAGCCACGCTACCACCCGCCACGCTCGTGAGTTCATCGAAGTTTGGCACTCCACAAGCAATTCCATCAACAGACACACTGACCTACAACCAGCCTACAAACTCCTCAGAATCCAAATCAACCACACAGCCAACGTAGGAAAATAGTTTGAAATGATCTTGCTCTTCTGATCAAGATATTCTTACTCAGCTCTTAAGAGTTTTTTGGGGGTAGGGTAGGGGTGGGAGGTTGGTCCAAAACAAAAAATAAATAAATGCTGATCCGTAGCCTTGAATATCTTACTGCACTGTCTCTAAAGATCTTTATCTGGGCCAACGTGTATAGATACCATCCCAAGTGATAAGCTGTGGAGCAGGGGTCTTCAAACTTGGCCCTTTTATGACTTGTGGACTTCAATTCCCAGAATTCCTCAGCTAGCGTGCCTGGCTGAGGAATTCTGGGAGTTGAAGTCCATAAGTCATAAATGGGCCAAGTTTGAAGACTCCTGTTGTGTAGCATAATCAGTACTCCAAACTCAGAATGCCTTCTTTCCCTCTGTTGGGGATGGGGATCTCTGTCTCTCCAAATTCTACTCATACTAGCCATTTGTGACACCACTGGGTTACACCCTGCTAAGAGTTCAATCACCTTTGAAGACTGACAAATGGTTTCAGAGTGCCCATATGACATAGAATGCAGGGATTTTTAGTAATTCCTAAGGATGGTAAGAATAAACCTGTCTTCTGTGTAGTTAGCTCTGTCAGGATTTCATTCCACACAGCGAGGTTTTTCTAATTAAAATTGTCAAAGCCTGTTGTAAGTTGAAAATATAGCAACTATTTGCATATTGTTCTCAAGCGCTTTCAAAATGCTTTGATAGATTTAATCATGAAAATGCAAGCATATAAGTGTCCTGAAAACTTACTAGGAAAATTGTCCTGTTTAATTAGTCATACCAACATATGAACCATCTCTTTTAGTTTACCTGCTGAACTTGCCAAACTAGTACGGTATGTACAGCTAAACATAAATGAAAATTGTATTTTGCATAAATAGTAAGGTTAGCGTTCTGAACTTTCAATTCCTATATTGTTTTGAAGTGAATATGAGAGCTGGATACAGATAGCATATTGTGTTTAACCATTAGACTTTATGAGGGTGAAGGTTCCTTCTCTGAGCTTGTGGGTTGGTTTCCGAACGTTTCATTACCAGGCTAGGTAATACCTTCAACAGAGTTTAGGGGATGTCAGTGTCAGTGTTTTTCTGTTTATGAGGCTTCAGGGGTGGGTGTGTCTTGTGATGGGTCAGGTGTGAGTCATCAGTGAGAGGCTTGTGATGGTCTTGTGATAGGGAGGTTACATCAGGTTAGTGATGTAGGTGAACTGCTGGTCGGGAGTGGGGGCTTGCGTGGGTTGGTTGAGGGTTGATCCCTCAACCCCCTAAAAACTTTAAGAACTGCGTAAGAATATCTTGATCAGAAAAGCAAGATCAACTTCCGGGTCCAAATCACGGTGTCTCTAGTCGCACGAAGAGACTCGTCTCCTCGTCGGCTAGTTTCCCTCCGCCAGTAGACCCTTATGTGGGTTGAAAGTCACCCTGGAGAGTGCGACTTCTGTCGACAAGGCTTCGCTCGGCTGTGGAGGAGCTGTGGCTCCTCCAGCTGTCCGAGCCATTTCTGAGGGCTGACGCAGAAGGAAGATCGGCCAGTAAAATGGCCGATCACCCAGCTGCTCCAAATTGCAAGTCAAAGAACATCTAAGCATTGAGAACCACCGTGGTGAACCCGGGTGAGATTTTTTCTTGGCTCCTCTCTTCACTCTATTTTACTTTTTTTTTTTTTTGCCTGTAAGAGTTTTGTTGGAACTATTTCCCTGTCTTGAAAAAGCAGCTTCTATATGTTCAGAAAGAAAGGCGTTAAACAAAAGAATAGAATAAAATTTTAAAGACTATATTTTGCTTTTATCTGCTTTGGGGTACAGAAAAAAACTCTTTCTTAAGAGCTGTACTATTATTTTATGCTGGAAGATTATTTCTTTTTTCACATCATATTTTAAAAGATAGAAAAAAGGGGAAAAATGGTGTCTGGAAATTTTTTTTTAATCTATTGAGGATATCTAGTGGTGAAAACCACGGTGTGTCCTGAGCACTTTGTCTTAAGAACTAAAAAAACCAATAAAATGTGTTTCAAAAAAAAAAAAAAGAAGAAGAGCAAGATCATTTCAAACTATTTTCCTACGTTCAAAGATGAAAATGGATGCATGAAGTATCACAGAGAATTACATTTGCTCTAACCTTTAGTGGTAGTGCTTGCTTAATGACCACTCCTCCAGTGACCTTTTGAACTTAAAACTAGTCCTTGGACTTATGTTGGTTGCAATGTCCCCACTGTCATAACATCACGAGTAGAGTGATTGGAACCTATCTCGAATTACGTTGCAGCTTCTCACGATCACATGATTGAATTTGGGACCTTCTTGCCAGCTTCCTACAAAGAAAAGCAATGAGGAAACTGGCAGGAGGTTGCAAGTGGTGGCCACATGATTTCCTCACTTAACAACTCTTGAGGATTTGTTTAACAACAACAACCAGAAGTGCCAGAATTTCCATCCCTAAGTGATATAGTCATGTGACATCTTACATTTCTGACGGTGATCAAAATTCCAGTTCCAATTCATGTAATTAAGTGAAGACTACTTGTAATTTTCTTAAATTGGTAAAACCGAGCTACCAAAAATTGGCCATTTTGCTGTCAGCTTTTGGCAATGCAATCTCAAGATGCTTGGAGAGTTTCACAATGAAGTGGAGGACTGCAAACCCATCCCAGCTGAGAGGGGAAACTTCTTGCAACGTTTGAAAATTACTAGGATTTACAAAAGTTCAGGCCACTCTTGTTTCCTGACTCAATTTGTAATGGAGCCATTTATAATGGCTTGGATATTGTTGAATGCCAATGATTGCTGCTGTTACCTTTTTGCCAGCAATATAACCTCCAGCTGCTCCAAAACTTTTTGTGAATGTTCCCATCAATACATCAATATCATTAGGATCCATTCCAAAGTATTCCACAACTCCTCTTCCTGTAGGACCAACAGCACCTATGCTGTGGGCTTCGTCCAAGTAGACGTAGGCTTTGTATTTTCTCTTTAAGGAAACAACTTCTGGCAAGCGTACAATAGAGCCTTCCATGCTGGAAGAACAAGAATGTTAATGAGAACTGAGTACATGTAATGCCTGAAACTGTATGAACTGATCCAATATAATGCCAATATTATGCCAACTGTTCCCTATCCAAGTATTTCCCCAAAGCAAACAAAAATTTTAAAACAGAATCATACAAGCAATAGAAGAAATAAATTAAGAAAAATCCAGTTTGTAGAGTATAATTTATGGCTTTCTGGTTACTGTGCTTAACGCATGCACAATATTGGAGCATTTTATATGGATTTTCTAGAATCTGCATACCCAGTTGAAATTTTATATTTTACATACCTATAAATGCCCTCTACTAGAATAAGAATTTTTTTCCATGCTCTTCGGCTTCGAGGTTGTCCCTGTATTACTGCATCCTTCAAAAGCTTTTCTAAGCTCTGCATATCTAATTTTAAAAATACAAGGTAATGTGAAATATTGCATCAAATATATATATCTATATTATATTTCTACAAACCGCAAATCCATTTTGTAAAAAAAAATAACCAAGTGTGAGATGCTTAGGAAAACAAACCAAGTTTCTGTATAAAATATTACCACGGTAACTTTTAGTATACGGACTGAACCTAATGAAATATAAATAACAATGTTTTCTCACAATCTCTTTTAGGAAAAAAAAACTCCATTAAACTTGACAGAAATACTAATGTGATATGCTTTAGATTAGGGTTATTGGTATTTGATCCCTGCTCAGTCATAATAGTCTATCAAGTTTCCTGATATAAAGCAAGATATTTCAAATTAGTGTATTATATCAAGTTACTGATTACAAATCGAAAAATTCAAAATATAATGCTGTTTCAGCTTGGAGGGACAAAGAAACCAAATAATGAAATAATAAATTTTAGTTCACATTCCATTTGCTTTTAAAAATTAATGGAGTTCCATTCATTGAATCTACATACTGTTACTCTGGTACAGGAAAAGGTCAAAAGCACCTCAGAATCTATGCCAGCAATTTAGTTTTTGATGTTTGATGACATCAAAAGTACCATTCAGATTTGATGCATTCATCATCTCCACCAGCAGAAAAAAAACCTGCTGATACAAAGGCTATGAATAGTCTTTGAAAAAGTCTCTTTGCAATGTGTGGGAGTATATGCACTTTTTTTTTAAAAAAAAATCCTGCTTTGAAAGCTGCAAAGCTAGGGACCTAAGAGCCCATGTGCCAGCCTGTTCTCTCCAATTGTATGCAAAGACCAATTCCTATCAGACTAAACCTCCTGGCTTTCCTTCTGACCTTGACTGGACAAGTAGCTTGTCACCACATCCCAGCAGTGTAGGACAAATGTGAGCTTTTGGTTCAGTTTGTACTGCAAACACTGAGCACATAACTTCTACTGATTCCTTTTTAACAGAACCTGAGGAGCATAGTTGTGATTTTATGCATAAAAAATACATATCTACACGTTTTTTATTTATTTATGAGACTTATATACCGCTTTAAGTGCAAGCACTCTCTAAGCGGTGTACACCAGTAAGCAATGTATATATATATTTACTTTGCCCCCAACAATCTGGGTCCTCATTTTACCTATCCCGGTAGGATGGAAGGATGAGTCAACCTTGAGCCGGTGAGATTTGAACCGCTGACCTGCTGAACACAGTCAGCTAAAGTGGCCTGCAGTACTGCACTCTAACTGCTGCACCACCTCAGCTCGGTTCTCTCTATCTACATAGTTCAGTTGGATTCTGGTTACAAAATTGTTTTTTATCAACACAGTTGTAAAGAAGTGAGAACTTTACACTTTTGTTTGTTAAAACCTGTTTAATTATCTGACGGTGTACTGGCCATAACTTTAAACAGGTTGGGAAGAAGTTAAATCAGGTGAAAAATTATCTTTAAGCACTTATCATCCACACCCAAGAGATATCAAGCTATTTCTCTTTACGTGTTCAAGAAAAAGCAACCAAATTTTCAAAATTTCTATTATCAATAATTACCATTCAGCTTAAAGGGAATTCTCTATATGGACGATGTTTCCTGTCATCTTTAACATTGCAAAACCACCATATTTCTTTTCTTTTTTAAAAAAATGAACTTTATTAGATTTTTTAAAAAAAAAAACTGACAAGAACTAATACCTAGAATGAATAAAGAGGAAAAAAAGAAAGGAGGACAGACCAATGCCAAAAGTAAGGAAATCAAAATAAAGAAAAAAGATTATAAAGAAGTAACTTTTATTTATCAAAGGCCTGGAGACTAAAACATATGAAGAACGGTTACGGGACTTGGGTTTCGCTAGTCTAAAGAAAAGAAGAAATAGGGGAGACATGATAGCAGTATTCCAGTATCTGAGGGGCTGCCACAAGGAAGAGGGCATCAAACTATTCTCCAAAGCACCAGAGGGCAGGACGAGAAACAATGGTTGGAAACTGATCAAAGAGAGAAGCAACCTGGAATTAAGGAGAAACTTCCTGACAGTGAGGACAATCAACCAGTGGAACAGTTTACTCCCAGAAATTGTGGGCGCTCCATCACTGAAAGTTTTTAAGAAGAAACTAGACATTCATCTGTCTGAGGTAGTATAGGTTCTCCTGCTTGAGCAGGGGGCTGGACTAGAAGACCTCCAAGATCCCTTCCAGCTCCTATTCTATTCTATTCTATTCTATTCTATTCTATTCTATTCTATTCTATTCTATTCTATTCTATTCCATTCCATTCCATTCCATTCCATTCCATATCATATTTTTTACAGTTGTTATAAGTACAGATATAATGTAACTTTAATATCCTGCCTTATTTGTAAAAATAATAAAGGCAGGATACAAATAAATAAAACAAAAATTAAATCTATACTTATATCAACTGTAAAAAAAAACTGGAAGTCACTTCTTCAGTAACTGAAGTTGGCTAACATACCTACTACTCCTTCCTCCTCCTATTTTCCCCACAAGAACAAACCTACGAGGCAAGTTGGGCTGAGAGAAAGTTACTGGCCCAAGTCACCTAGCTGGCTTTCATGGTTAAAGTGGGACTTGAACTCATGGTCTCCTGCTTTCCAGCCTGTGACTTAACCACTAGACCAGTGGTTCTCAACCTTTTTAATGCCGCGACCCCCAACCGATCGTAAGTCGAGGACTACTCAACTGGTGCAGCACCGTTTGCAGAATGGGACTTTTGGCGGGCTCAGCAGGGCAGAGACAGCCTGGACAATTCCTATTGGCTTTTGAAAGCCAATAGAATTAGACTCTATTCAAGAGAGTCTATTCTATTGGCTTTCAAAAGCCAATAGAATAAAAGGGAGTAGCACAGCTAAGGAAAAGGGGGGAAAAATGGCGGACTGCGTTGTTTGGCGACCCCCGTGAAATGGTCGTTCGACCCCAAATGGGGTCCCAACCCACAGGTTGAGAACCACTGCACTAGACCAAACTGGCTATTTTATGGTTGCAGCATTGCTTGCATTTTCCTGTAATCTATCATTTTTATTCTAATCATCAAAACCATATACTATGTTTTCATTTCCCCCCACAAAAAGTCAATAATGGGTTTCCAATCATCATCCTCAATGGTTTTAAACTGATCCCATTTGTGAAATCAAGGCAAAGAGGAAGATTAATTCTATTTTAAATGTTCTGGTCATAAGACCACAACATTTGAATACTCACGTTTGATTGGTTTTGCTGTGTCTTGTGTTATTTTTTGTTGAAACAAACAGCTTAGAAAAGGGTCCTGTCTATTGCTTCAATATTTCTCATTTTGGTTAATATGATCAATTATCATCAAAACTATTGCCTAATTTAAATAGCATCCCTAGATTATTGCAGTTCAATAATGCAGTACCAATCAATGTCATAGAAGTCACAAAAATAATATTGCAGAATAATAAAAAATATGTATTCCGCGGCCACTATATATTGCTAAAAACACTGCTCACTTGACTCTTCAGATTTACAATAGAATGTTCAGTTCTAATACATGCCAACATGTTTAAGCATTTAAATGAAAAGGGATTTTGATATAAACCTTTCTTGACTAGAAACTAACCAGCATCTTAAGGGTGAAAATACATAAAAATTCCACTAGGATTTTACAAAGGCAATTGTTTAATCAATTTTCCATCCAGTGAAGTGGTTTCTGTTGAACTAGGAAGGAGTTTTGGGTTTTAGTTCAATATTTACCAAATTTATAGTTCGGCTTACCAGACACTGTGCGGACCTCTGATAAGATAATAGCTAGGTGAGAAAAATGGGTAAAAGTAACAGCGGTATCTTTATCTGAAGTGACATCTCTAACATTTGTTCAATCTTGAACACAGTGATCTGATTTGATTCCAAAGTTAAATAATAATTTAATGTTACAAAAATTTGCTTTAGCCTCAGATAGCTTTTTTTATATTAACGTTATCCTTCTTAACTGTTGGTTATACTTTAAATTTCTTTAAGGATAGAGAAGAACTAAGGACAATAAGCATGAAATTAATTAGCATTTGGAGTCTCCCACCAAAAGATGACAGAAAAGGATCCCTGTCTCAAATTTTAGGTTAGTCTTTTGTATCTTTTCTCTATCAACATGAGAGTAAAAAACAAAATCTGTAATACAGACAAGATTAATTAGTCTTATTCAAATATAGTGTATGCTACAATCGAGAATCAAATTTAAACAACATAACAGTTTTGGCAATTTCACTGTGATAACTTGAGGCCTCTTTCCATGAAAATAAAAAAAAAAAGGTTTTTCTTACATATTAAAAGTGTGAACACATTATTTCCAAAGAGAGACAGCTACGGACATGAATTTCATTTTTTCATCAGTTAGCTAAAGTTGCCTCATTAATACTCACTGTTGTGCTTAAAGACTCTAATAGTAGCACCAGACAGCCTTGCACCAAGAACAAGTGAAGCATGGTTCAACTCATCACTTAAAATTAGACAACCCTGTGGAAATATATAGCAAAGAATTACAATAAATATTTAACTAACATAACAAACAATATTGTTTGCCTTATTTAACCTCACTGTAATTACCACCAGTGATTAAAAATAGTAAATAAAAACCTAAGGAACCTAAGTAAAATACACTGCAGATGCCCCCCCCCCTCAAAAATGAATTAAAAGAAAACACACCTTAGAACATTATAATGAAATCAGAAGAATAAAATCAACACAGTCTAACATTTATAACTAACATATATATATGTGTGTATAATTTTATGAAGAATTTTGATTATTAATAAAAGCTAATGCAATCTGACCTTGAAAAGAATAGAAAGACTAAGAAGTACAAGGGCAAAGGAAAAAAGAAAGAAAGAAAAAGAATAAAGAAAGAGAAAAGAAATATATAAAAAAGTGATTTCCAACTTTCATCACAAGAATTACAAAAATGTAGTGATTCTTCACCCCTAAGATTGCAAACAATTGTTTCTTCATCCCATCCCTTTTTTTATAGACAACTACATAAGACATCTTTTCAGACCTAGGGTATGTCAGCAAAAAATCCGTAAGGTTTATCAGAAGCAATGACATATCTTGTTTTAAGCTTGATTAAAATAATAACATATTCCTTCCTTTTACTTGTAACAATCTTTAATTAATTCAAATATTGTCCTAGGATTTGATTTCTTTTAATTTCTTATTTGTCTCATCACACAGTATTCTTCAAGGCTTTGACAAATCTCCTTTGAAAATCCAATAGGAAAAAATAGTCTAGATCACTCTCTAGGTTTATCATTTGTATTTGCCTTTCAAATTTTAAAACATTAGCCAATTTTTTTGAAGATCAAGTGAAGCATCCTTTTCCAAGATATTCTCTTCACCTGTCAAGTTATAAATCCAGTTTTGATACTATCTTTGTCTTGTCAGAATCAAATTTGTTCTAGATCTGTCATTTTCTTCAATAACATATTTTGGATATAGTCTGTGCATAGAAGCAGACATCGTTATCAACATTGTTAATATTGTGGCTTCTAATTTCTGATTTCATTCTTCAAAAGACTTGTTCAGCATTTTATAGGTTTGTATTTTTTCTCGGTCCCAAAAATATTTAATCCCCTCTAGCGTCCAGTTTTTAAATCATGAAATTACTTATCTCTATTATGACTTCCAAAAACCAAAACAGATCTATTTCCCATGAGAAGCTGTTAGTTCTTTATAATTAGTTCCAAAATTCTATTCTAAAAGGTTCATTATTCCAAATTTATCAGGATCCTTAGTCCGCTTATAACTTTTTAAGACCAAAATCTTATTTTGCTTTTAGCAACTTATTTCAGATTCTTTAAATTCAAAACTGTCTTTTGTTCAGGACGGAAGGCAAACTCACTCAACCGTTTTCAAACTTGGTATTCTGAAAGTCTCCGACAGCTTAAAAGTAGCTAATGAACAATTTCCAAAAGTGATTGGCAAGTGACTTTAGTGAATGTAATATCCTTTAAAAGGCACTGATTGCGGATTGCAAACAAGATGGCTATTGCTGTCATCTCCCAGCATCCAAACCAGTACGATACAGCTGTCTTAAAGTTTTGTTCTAAGAGTTCTAAGATAACACGTACGTTATCTCCCAGCCTCCTTTTGTCCAGAGAGGTTCTGAAGACTTTAGAGAGGGCTGTAAAGCACTGTGAAGTGGTATATAAGTCTAAGTGCTATTGCGATTGTTACTCATCAGCTCTTCATTCTTCATGTCAGTCATCAGCTCTGCTTTCGTGGAGATATCTTCAATCCCCTATTCCTCCCCTGGAAGCCAAGTTTTTTTAAGCTGGTGTGCAGTTTATAAACTATTAACTAATGACAGATTTTGACATATTACTGTAATATTTACTATTTTAAAGATATTTTTGGTAAAACTGTTAAATACGAAGGAGTGATTTAATTTGGTATCTGAAAAGAAGTTAATAGTAGAGAAGTCAGATTTTTTTTCCCATTTAAAGTTCCTATGCCAACTATGTTAATAATATAAGTTTACTTACTTACTGCTACTTCTAAAATTCTGTTACAGGTAGTCCTCGACTTACGATCACAACTGAACTCAAAATTTATGATATTAAGCAAGACAGTTGTTAAATAAGTTTTGCCCCATTTTATGACCTTTCGTGCCATGGTTGTTAAGGGAATCGCTGCAATTAAGTTAGTAACACAGTTGTTAAGTGAATCTGGCTTCCTCAATGACGAGATACTGCAACTGTCATGAATATGAACCAGCTGCCAAGTATCTGAATTTTGATCACGTAACTATGGGGGTTTTGCAATGGTTATAAGTGTGAAAATGGTCATAAGTCACTTTTTTCAGTGCCATTGTAACTTTGAGTGAACTGTTATAAGTTGAGGACTACCTGTATTTATTACAGGTCTGAGAAAATTAACTGACGCTTCAGAATCAAAACCCTATGTTCATAAAAGGAGTTGAAGAAAGTGGATGAAATCTGTATTAATTAGTACTAATTTAGGAATTAGAACATTCATTAATATATTTCAGATTTCTTCTACTATGGCCATATTTTGGTCTGAAATGTATCAGATATCTTTAGCATGATCAATATTTATTAAAACCCATTGTTTTCTTTTTTGGCTACATCCCTACATTTGGAATTTATCAAAGCATCAAGAGTGCTGGATTGTTCTTGCAGAGGAGTAGTAAAACAACAACAGCATAACACTAAAAAAAACCCCTGATTTGCAGCAATGTACTATTTATCAACACAAATTAGTCTTTTCTGTTTTTGACAGAGATAAGAAAGAAGACTCAGCAAATGAATCTCTTGTTTTTGTGGACTTAAAATAAAAGCAGAAGCATCAACAGGTTGGGAATGAAAGACAATATGAATGTTTCAGTGTCATAATTCTTGTTTGGTCATTTTGATGAAATCATAGGATTGTGTGGATGCCTCTGAATGAATGCAAATTCAAGTAGCATAGTTAGATATTTCTCTAATTATATAATCCTAAACAGACTTATAAAAATAATTTCAGCAACAATATACAACACATAGATTTTGTTTAAAAAATGAAGTTTTAGCACAGTCCCTTGATTGAACTATAGGCACTATGATTTTTTTTTAACAACTATACTTACCATCGCCATTATGAGTTAATGCTTATTGACCACAGTATTGCCTCATCAATAAAAAATTAAGAATGGATAGGTCTATTTTCTAATAGCTTGATTCCTGAATCATATAGATTCTCCATGAAAGCAAATAAACATTTTGACAAATCTATTCTATTGTATATAATTAAAAATGCTTATAACGCACCAATGGTTTCATTTATGTTAAGCCCTAGAAACCTCTCTTAAACACTGCCCAGATGAAATTAGTCTGTTACTGTATAATTGTGTTTAGTTCAGCAATATTTAAGTAGGAGAAAAAGTTCCTAGTGGTTATTTTCATAGGTGCTCCTTCAACATAGCAGCGTTAGAAGCAAAAGTTAATTATTCAATCAACTAGGTTTAATACAAAATATGTGGAGAAGTAAAATAAATAGGAAACATAACTATTTCTATATAGTTTAAGAACATTAAGGACAACATGACTTACAGAGAGCTGATTACAATTTAAGATACCCTTGCTAAAGATTACCACCACAGCTTGCCTTGCCTTCTAGGAGAAATGAGGCAGCTTTACAATGATCTTAAATTTCCTGGGTGATGATCACAACAAATGTATTTGGGAGGATATTCACTTACCTTCCCTACTAATGCTGGAATATTCATAGAATTTGTAGCAAATCCCATACCAAATGACAGAGCTGCTTCAACACCAAGGAATTGTGCTACCGTATTTTCTAACTCTATATGTTTATCCAAGTTTCCTGTTACAAGCAGTAAAAATATTTTAAAGGATCTCATTAGTATCATTCATGAACATCTAAACTGTAATACAAACTTATTTACCTTCACATATTAGCACTGATAATTTTTAAAATTCTTCATTCTAGAATTTATAATTAAATTTCTTATAGCAAAAAAATATGAATAATTACAATTTACAATTAAAGCACTTGTATTCTAATCTCTAATTTAAGATAAATGGTAAAGTGATAAAAAGAAGTACAAACAAAATTGGAAATGCATTGAGGACTGAAGAGAAACAAACAAACAAACATCCTCTCCAAAAAGCAGAAGAGTGCCACAAAATGAAAATTCCACAGAAACAATACAGCCAATAACTTCATTGGATAATCTCAGCTATAATGCAGGTTTAAAATCCTTTGAGAAATAAGCAGTCTTTACTTGAGGCTGAGCAGAGCATTAGCTGCAACACTAAGGAAGCTTCTTAAGAGGATGAGCTTTCCATATCAGCTGTGAAAATCCTTTCTTCTGGGGAATAGTTGGATTTTTCATGAACAAGTACAAAAAGGCATATTTTGTTTCTTAATCAAATTAAACAATGCTGGCTTGTTTCAATTTTTCCCTTTATTTTGCACATATATTGAAAATTTTAATCAGAGATAATACAATATTATTTGCATTTATTTAGTTTTGCTTACCTCTCTCAATTTTCCTATTGCAAAGCCAAACTATAATTAGATAATTTGAAGATCATAGCTTTTGAATGTCCTCCCCCCAACATATTTTAAATTCTGAAAATATAGCAAATAATATAGTCACTATATCTGCATGTATCTATATTGCTCCCCAAATAGGAAAGGGGGCAAAGTATTTATTTATTTATTTCTTTATTCATGTCAGAAGAATAAGGGAACTTTCCTAAATGTCATATAAGAACATGTCAGGAGAAACTCAAGAGTACGAGTTTTTACTAGAGAGTAGCCATGATCTCCAAGATATATATAATCTTCATGTTATGAAAAGTTTCTCATTTTTGGATTATATTTTGTTTCTGTTGCCTCCTATTAAATTAGAAACCCTAATACATGCACTGAATAATAATGAGCTGCCCAAATAAATTCACCCATTCCATTTCCTTCAATTAGCAATAACCGAGAGATCACCAAAGCCTAATCCTAGCCCTAACCCTAACCCTGCAACCGTCATAAATATGAACCAGTTGTCAAGTATCTGAATGTAAATCACACGACCCTGGTGACTGGTGTGAAAAATGGTTGTAAGTCACTTTTTTCAGTGCCATTGTAACTTTGAATGGTCACTAAATGAACTGTTGTAGGTCAAGGACCGCCTATACATACTTTGCTTGCAAAAAGTCTCAGGTGCAGTCCTTGTGTTCTTGGGTTGGGCTGGGAAAAGATATTTTGTCTGAGGAAAGGATCGCTATAAGTATAGTTTATGCTAAATGAAATGGGTGAATGGTCTGCTTTAATATAAGGCAACTTTCTATTTTCTCTGGCATTTTCACTGCTGAGACTCAGGAAAAGAATTTGCAACAAGCTAGGCATTTGAAATTTTTGGTCATGTCAGAAGTTACAAAAAGTTAACTTCCTCTTGTCTGATCTTTCATGTCTCAGATAATTTTCAAACTCTCCATGGTTTCTAATCTGCTTTACTTGGAATGAAAATAAACACATTCAGAATAGTGGCTTTGCACTGAATGACAAATCGCTCCTCAAGCTTGAGAAATTGACAAAGGAAGAGCTACACAAGCTAACTTTCCCTCAAAGATAAATTATCTCTGAAACATCCAGAAGGTTCACGAGTCATTAGAATTTCTCTTATGGTGAAAAACACACACACAAAGAAAGTATGATCTTTCAGAGCTCAGCCCCTCTCACTTTTCTGATATCTATTCTGCAGGGTCTTCAGCAAAAGCATTGCTAACGCTAACCAGAATTCATATTTCATTATAAGCTACAAGGGTAGAGGGACTCTTGATTAACATTAGCTAAATACCAAAGAGAACATACCTGCCACTAGAGCACGGGTAGGCAACCTTGGCTCTTTTATGAATCGTGGACTTCAACTCCCAGAATTCCTGAGACAGTCATGCTTAGGGGAAAGGGAGAGGTTTCCAAGCTGAGCCATGCTGGCTCAGGAACTCTGGGAGTTGAAGTCCACGAGTCATAGAAGAGCCAAGGTTGCCTACCCCTGCACTAGAATAATATGTTCAGGTCTTATAATTGTAGATACTGGATTAATTCTTAGACTATTAAAACTACTTGGTGCTCTCTAGATGCTTTGAGATTACAACTCCCACATTCCATTGCTACTGGCCATGTTGAAGCCGAAATATCTGGAGGATAACAGCTTGCTATCATTACCCTGAGTGCCTAGCATATCATGTAATTGCCATCTTGGGAACATTAAAGGTAAACAACAATTCCTAAAGTTCGACTTCTGGTTTGCCATCACGGCCGCCGCAGATATTGGAAGGCAAGCTCCATCTTCTGTGTTCGATTTCGCACCGCTAGGGGACCCTGGAAAGGGTTGAAAGTCACCCTGTAGGAGCGACAAGCAAGGAGAGGATCCCTGCTTGATCACGGAAGGGTGGTAGGGCTTGATCTGGGGCAGTCCTCCAAACTGACAGACGAAAGACTGGCCGTAGAAATATGGCCCGTCACTAGGCTGCAGACAGCCGAAGTCAAACTTACCATCAGGCACTTTTAAAGCAGTGCAGATGAGACTGGGTGAGATCTGAACCTCTCTTCAATCCTAACTATCTTTTCTACCTGTATAAGCTGTCCAAAGTATTTTCCCCCTTGTGGAGAGAGAGAAGGGAAATCCTATCCCATCCTCTAAGAGCAGCGGCAACTGACTATCCAGGGGAGTTTAAAACATTGAAAGAATAACCTTATTTTAACTGAATTTATATGTTTCTAAAATTTGGGGACCAAAAGATTTCTTATTCCTATTGAAGACTTGGATTTTTACTTATAAAAAAGAAGTAAAATTGGAAAAAGAATTATAAAAATTTTGGACGTAAAAAACCTTAAACAGCATTGGTGACATCTTGTGGCTAAATCGGATACTACAACTTGTTATTGTCTAAAAGAGACTTAGCCTGAATTACAGATAAGACTCCTTCAACTTTGGCAGATATCAGCTGTGAGAAGAAGCTTAGCTGTGTTTTATACCCAGTGATAAAATTATTTTCATCCCCTGATTGTAAAGCTTGAAATTTAATACACCACTAAGAGAATATGGATGAAGATCAGGAACAGATTCTTTCTATGTTGAAAGCAATTCATGAAACTATTCTTACAGCTTCTGACGAAATAAGACGCTATAGAAAAGAACAAGATGTCAGCCTAGATATTCAAACCCTAACTTTGACTACAATTAAAGAATCAACTATGCAGAACACAATAGAAGAAGTGGAACAATTAAACACTATGATAGAGGATTCAATGGACCAACAAATACAATTAATGGAAAACTTACAAAAGGGACTGATAACACTGAAAATGGAAAAGACTTTCTGTATAAACCAGAAGAAATCTGAGGAGCAAGAAGAACAGACTGAAGGGAAGAGAAACATTCCAGGACAGCTACGGGGAGATGGAATAATAGAGAGACGATTTGTTAGTCCTTCCAAAAGAATGGCAATTGGATGGTCTCTTTTATTTCAAATAATATATACAATAACAGAGGGAGATCTATTTGATGATTTAAAAGCACGGACATGGAAGGCTAGTTGGCAAAGAAAGAAAGCTAGAATACGGCTGAAGAAAAATGGAGTTTGGATTTACTAGTGAGGATGTTATGTTATTAATTAAAATAGAATATACTCAAACAGATAAGATGTGTACTCTGAATACTAGATTATGTTATGAATTGAGATAAAGAAAACTTTGGTCATTTAAAACTTGGAAGTATAAATATAAAAAGTTAAATTTGAATATTGATGGAAATTAAAAATTGGGGAAAACAAATAAATAGGATATTGTCTATAAAGATTGAACATAAAAGTATTTAAGATATATATAAGCTAAAAATTTTGATAAATGTAATAAACATGTCTTTACGTAGTTGATAAAATAAGAACTGTGTTAGTTTAAATATGAGATAGTAGATATTAAGAGAAAAAGAGAGGAAGTATTTGATGTTGAAATAAGGGAAATTTTGGTCATTAAATTTAAGACATTTGGGAATTAGTAGAAAATAAGAATGTTATACTGTATTATCAATTAGATGATGTAAGATAGTGAGAAATAGAATATATTCAAATAGATAGGACATGTATCTTGAACATTAGATTTTGTGATGAATTGTGGTAAAGGAAACTTTGGTTACTTAAAACTTGGAAATTATAAATATTAAATATTAAATTTAAATATTGATGGGAAACTAAAAATCGGGAAAAACTAATTACAGGATATTGATTGTATATAAAGAGTGAATGTTAAAGCAATTAGGATATGTATAAGCTAAAAACTATTGATAAATGTAGCAATGTTATTTTTACTTAATTGATATAATAAGAATTGTATTAGCTTAAACATGAGACAGTAAATATTAAGGGGAAAAGAGAGGAAATATTTAATGTGGTAATTTGAGATTTGTACTAAAAACACTTGTATGTTATTGAATTATTGATTAACCCGCCGCCATGTTGCTTTTTAAATAAATATAAAACTAGAAAATCAATAAAACTTAAAAAAAAATTGCTAAAGTTCAACATATGGAGGGACATTATATTGATTTTGTAGCCTTTGCACAGATCAATAGACATGCCAGTTGCTTTGATTATGGTACTAATTATGGGCATTTATCTATGTGGTTATATTAATATACATTTGTAATCACTCATAAATTATGTTAATCTGTAATCACTCATTAACTGTGTTAATCATCCAAATTATATATATTAGTATATAATTATATATTTCTCTAATATAGGCATGTTAGGGATTACCAGTTGAGTTCTTGCCAACAGCTTTTTTTCCCCATTGCTGTTCTCCATAAACTGCTACCTCTTAGAACTAAAACTGCTTTTGTTTGTCACTATGAAAAAGCTGCAACTAATGAATCACCAGAAGAAGCATATTTGGGCAACATATTGCAAAATCAAAAACATTCAGGTGTGGGAAATGATTGCGGTGTCAAAACAGGTATCAATTGGATCTTCTGGGAGAAATGCTTATTGCTGAGGGATGAAAAATGTTACTCTGATAACCATAGCTGCTCAGAATTCTTTGATGACAAAGAGGCTATTCTTTAAATCACGTGTGTAACACATTATTGGATCTCTACATACAACAATGCCTCTGCCTAAAAAATTGCTGCTGCCTTCATAAATATACTGTAGCTATGAACTACAACTGAGCACAGCTTGACATAGAATTAGAATTCTTCATTCACTTATGTGCCTGTTAATAGATGATGGACTTCCAGGCTGATGGAAAATAGACTTGAACTGAGACCAGATCGTGAAATAAATGAATAGATATTCAAGGGTTCTACAACTATTCTCCCATTTTGTCTATTCTATTTTCAGCTATTATAATACTCTGCTTGGGGGAAAATGTGCAACTGCATAACATGAAAGGATCACTATGCTACATCATGACATAATATATCACATTTAAGGGAGCACCGGGAAAACAACCATATAGAGTTTTACTTCATTTGAACAAAAATGAAATTAACATCTGGTATTAACAACTCTTCATGCCAATGTTGCATTTAAATGAAGTTAATTGAAATGCAATTTTAAAGCTGAATAAGCAAAACCACTCTCCTATTCTTGAAAGCTTTAAAGTGAATTCCAAGATTATATATAATCCAGGCAATTCTATACATGAGTTGTTTCAGCTGAGCAATAGTTACTCATAGTTTAACAGTTTCGGGTCAGACAATAGGTAGTTGTTTATGGTGGTGGTTGGGTATCTAGGTAAATAAATATAAGAGTAGCCACCCAAGTGAATTGCTTTAAGATTATGTGTTAATGAATAGCACATGAATGAAGTCAAATCTACACATAATGAAGTGAAATATACAGTATACTTCTAAATAGGATCTCTGGACTCAGATTTTAATAATAATAATAATAATTTTAACTTACCCATTTCCTGACTGGTGCTACATATTCCTGTGCCATAATTATTTAACACTGAATTCACTGTTTTCAAAGCATTTTGGTCAGTTTCTGCAAAGCCAAGGTAATTATATGAACCCATATTGATTACATTCTTGATTATCCTTCCAGTGAACCTATAATAGTCAAGAAAAGTATAACAAGATAAAATCTAATTATTACTAAAAGATTTGAATTAACCAAATCCTTTTTAAAATTCAGTTAATACCAGGAGACAGGAATCCTCCTTCCTTCCTGAATCAACTCAGGTAATCTTTTCTTCAGCCAAGGCCGAAGGAGGTTTTTCATTTCAGGAAAGTACAAAGTAACAAATATTATCTAATAAAACTGCTTTCTATGATACTTCTAACTTTTCCCCTCCCCTCCCTTTTTTTCCACTTTAACTTCTTTTAACTGCCATTTTTAAATTTATACTGAATGTATTTTATGTATATATGTTTGTGCACATGTGCACACACACACATGCAAACACAAACATATTAATCAGAGACCACATTAAAGATTTATCTTACATTATATTTCAGGAAAAAAAATATAGCTACGGTATATTTTTTATAGAAATAAGCTACACAAGACAACCACAACTTTCTACATAAATCCAAACTGTGGATGAATATGCCTTTATGGATGTCAGCACAAGACGTATTTTATAGAATGCTTAAGGTGCCTTTGTAATAAAATATTTAAAGCAAGCTGAATTAACCTTGAGTGGCAACATTGAGATAAACCAGACAGGAAGCAGTACCCCAAATGGTGGTAACCTTTCACCTACTGCTATTGGAAGATTCCTTGAACTACCTTTCTTCCTCTGTGCTTTCTTATGAGTATAGAGGTTATACAACATTCAACAATCCTTCAGCTCATCACTTCTAACTTTAAATTACTATGAGATCCAGGTCCTGTCGGTCGTGGTTTCGGAGATATTTCCTTACCATATTCCTCAATGTCTCCAACAATGAGACTGTTTCTAATGCAGTGCCTTCACTGGGGTATATTCAGAGAGGTATCAAAAATAGCTTACACTGAATATAGCACAGTCAAACATCACCACAGGAAATGTTTTATGACCTTTTGTCCTTTGTCATAAAATCACTTTATGATAATGTTTATGTGATAAAATGTTTTATAAAATTTGCCAAATTTCAATTCCACGGGAGTCACGGGTCCTGGATTTTGAACACATTTTAGCCCATTTGAGGTTCAAACCATTTTGCCCTATGGCACACTGATTTATCCAGTTGAAGGTTGCGGGAAATAGAGTTTTGGTGATGTATAGATTCACATTTCCATAAATATCCTCTTCTTTTTGTAGAATGAACACAGTTTTATTCATATTAATTAAAAACACTTTGTAGACTGACCCACCTAAATGTCCAGTTGTTGTCATCTGAAACACGTTCCAACAGGTCAATTTTTGGTCCGGGAGCACTGCAGATAGGGCGGTTCAAGTTATCTCTTATTCTCATATAGAAGTTTCTTGTAAAAAAGTGTTCAAAATCTTGATAAAGTGGGACAAAATCCTAAAGTTTTTTTTTAAGAAAGAAAAATATCTGCCATGTTACATTTTTAGTATTTGCTTACTTTTTCTTAAAATTAAATAACTATTAAAACTAGATAACTGTTATGTGTAACAGATCCCTTACATCCAACCTTAGTTCAATTCTTACATTTTCATCTTTTGGGAAAATTAATACAGTATAATACAAGGCAACATAAACACATAGGGCATGATATACTTATGTGTCTTTCAATCCCTATGCTGTCTGAGATCTGCTGTCTCAGATAAAATTCTGAGTTCATACTCCTACTTAGCTATAAAACTGAGCAAATTCAGGCTTTAACTTTATTCATTTAACTTAAATAGTTCTTGTCATTCTGCATAACGCCTAGATATTATATACAGTGCCTAGTACATAGCATATTAAAATGACAGATATTTTATCCTTTGCCTAAAAACATCACATATTCTATAGATTTCCTAGACATTCTGTACAATGCCAGCTTTCACACGTTGCTGGTAAAACACACACACACACACACACACACAAATAAATATAGCAAATGAGGAAAGACTGAAAAGCACTTTACTAAATTAAAAAGTTCACCTCTGTCAAATATCTACCCTGTTTGTTAAAAAACAGTGAAAGAACAAATCTATTAGGTCAACGGAATAACTTTTTTTTTCATAGCAAGGTGATCTGAAGACCGGGAACCAAATATATATGCATTTTTGATTGCATATAAGATACTCTTATTTTCCTGCAATTATTATGGACAAATATAATATCCATCCCTGAGCTCTGAATGTCAGATTGGATATTTCTTTATTACAGTACTTCCCCTCCTGTCTGTTTATGGTGCCAGAAAATCAAATCACATTTAGGGGAGGTACATTTGCTGTAAGAAACAAAAACAATATAAATATATATTATGTATTTTTTGTGCCCATTATTAATAAGACCTGGGACAGGAAGGAACAGACTGAGACACAACCTCAACAAAATGGAGTGGCTTTGGTTTCAAAAGTCTGAGAATTTTAATGAGAGTCCATTGTAAACTTTGAGTGTAGTTGCTGATTCACAATTTAGGAATTGTCTTGAATCTATAGCTCCTGCTTCAGGAGCAAAGAACATTGCACATCTGTACTCCAACTGCAATTTTTCCTGAAACAGCATTACTCATTGTTGCTCATGCCTCAGTTAATTGGACTATTGCAAGGAGTTTTACATGGCGCTGCCTGAAGATCATTCAGAAGCCACAGAGGGTCCAAAATGTAGTGGTTTAGGTAGCAACAGATACATCTTGAGGCACTCATATAATCTCTGGGGTCTGACAATTTGCCGCGACCAACTCGCCATGGCCCACTCTCTGCAGGACAAGAGTTACAGTAATCTCAAAGAAATGGTGGAATAGAACCATTAAAGAAAGGATGCAAAAGGAGGGACAGAATGAAATGTGAATGGCAAAAATTAAAATAATTTTTATTTATTTTAAATAATTAAATAGAATTGTTAAATTGTCCTGCAGTGAGTTGTCCCGTGGTGAATTGGCTTTGGCAAGTTGTCCTGTGATGGGTTGACTGTGGTGATTTGGCCGCAGCAAGCTGGCTTTGGCAAGTTGTTCCATTCCCTAATCTCTGTATTATTGGTTGCAGATGGATTCCAAGTGCAATTCAAGGTGCTAGTTGTCCCTCACAAGTTGCAAATGTCACCTTTAGGGCCCATGTAAACATTGCTTTTCTGTCACTGCCCTCTCTTTTGGACCAACATTGCTTTTGATGTGCAGTCAGCCCATTCTTTTCTGGCTTTTTAGGAAACAAGTAAAAACGGCCAGGGAGGTTGGATTGTTGTAATTGCCTGTTGGATTGTGAGATCACATCCATATTATTATTGTTAATACTTTATCCTGCTTTTCCTGTTTCCCTAGAAGCATTATGTAGTTTTTGAACTGATTGTATGGTCATAATACAACTATCTATTGCAGTGGTTCTCAACCTGTGGGTCGGGACCCCATTTGGGGTCAAATGACCATTTCACGGGGGTCACCAAACCATGCTGTCCGCCATTTTTTCCCTTTTCTCTAGCTGTCCTACTCCCTCTTATTGGTGGCCACACCCACTTGGGGGTCACCACAACATGGGGAACTGTAGTATGGGGTCACGGCATTAGAAAGGTTGAGAATCACTGATCTATTGGGAAGTTATATGCCACTCAGTATTGGTAGACTGGAATGGCCTGTGGGTTCTGTAAATAAAAGAAAACATCTGTAGTTTGTCAAGACATGTTTTTGGAGGTAAAAATATATTTTTGCTTAATCAAATTCATCATTGGACTGAATGATATTCTCAAAATAAAATTATGAGCTGTCTTTATTGTTAACATATTGTGGGAAATGTTAAAACTCTTGTAATAGAAATTAAACTGGACGTATAACTAAACCATTAACAAACTAACCATCTACAAATATCCACGCATATTTGCTCGATAGTGGATGATGTCTGAACAGAATCTAATGAGACAGAGTTATATTTTGTGAGGACAGGCTGAGATATATTTGATCTTATGGATTGTGAAGATCTGAAGAGGATTCTCTGTAGTATGAAATCTGCCACCTTCCAACTGGGAATATGTCCTGCTGGGCTGCCTATTCTGGGCAGTCTCACAGATTGAGTGGTGTGCAGCTGGATTTCAGAGATTTTTTTTTTTTAAGTCACTCTTTGTTCATTACAATTCTCAATTGAGATGTGGAAGCAAATAATTTGCTCCCCTTCCAGCCAGCCACATAAAACTCCCTTTTTATGACTCTGTAGATCGTTTGGGGTAGAATCGGTTCCATGATTAGATGGAACTGAGCATTTATTGGCCAGATGCCCTTCCTGATACCTATGTGGAGTTAGCAGATTTTTTTTTTTTTTTTTGTGCCCTAGGAGAGAAACATCTGCTGTTACTTAGGATTGAACTCTCAACCTTCCAAGTGGGAGGAGAACATCTTCCCCTCTAGGCTACCATGCTGCTCCCTCCCAGCCACATAGGAGGAGGTAAATAAATAAGACAGGGAAGTGTATGTGTTTTAAAGGAATTGGTGCAGCTTGTCTTTGTGCATAACACCCAAAACTGTGATAAGCAAATAATCATATTTTGTTCATCTGTAGCTTAGCAGCTACATTACCTAAGAGAATCGTGAAAACACGGTAAATTTGTGCCTCACTATTAATTGCATTGAAGAGCTATTCAGATCAGCTTTCAGAAGGTTTTGTATACAACTGTTGTCTTCCTAAACACTGACGTATAGGTTTGGGCTGATGAGTGTTAACCCTAAACAGTACTGTGCTTTTTGTTTTTAGAACTTGAGACAAAAAAGTCTTATAATTGCCACAACCACTGTCAGGAAATACTCCATATTTACATATTTTACTGTCCACTTTGTCCAAGCCATCCATAGGAGAAGCAATAGGCCTAATGCCTTTACTTGTCCGTTTCAGTCTTTCCATTCTGCTATGCTTTTTGAGAAATAACTGGGGATTGTTCATATAGGTCATGTCTTACGCACCATTTGCTCTTTCCGTTCGGTAGTGCCAACCTTTTTGTGTATTCCGTGGTCTCTTAAGAAATCTCGCAAGTAGCCAAACAATGTTGCAAATAGAAAACCAAGAAATGTAAGCACAGAAACAAACATGGATGGTTGTTCAAAGGATTCATTAAATGGTCGTTTATAGACAGTTCCATTTGCTACACCATTTTCCTAAAACAAACAAACAAAAAACAGATAAAGTTACAGTAATAAACATTCATCCACTTAAAAGTATAGTGATTTTAGGGTATTTCATTGCTACCATCTGTCCAATTTTTTTTTTTAAAAAAAAACATACCTCAACTAATCCTTAGCATAGTTTCTAGTTATTTTCCATTGCTAATATGAATATGAAAAATAGCCAGGCAGATTTGATAACTGGCTCATTCTAAGAGTAAAAAGTAAATGAAAACCAGTTAATAGAGAATCTTGATATAAATGCAAGGAAGAGAGAATGAACTAATGTTTTTTTTTAAAAAAAGTTGGTATTCAAATGGTATAGCAAAGAAGACCTGATTACTCAAAGAGCATCATTCATAACAAGAACTGCTCCTGCTTTAAAGATATTGAAGAGAATGTATGTGAATATATAGAACCACTAATCTTTCAATATGTCACTGTTTTTCCCCTAAGGACAATAAGTTTAAATGGGTTTCTCTACTACTGAAATTTTCATATCTGAATAAATCTATAGGTATTATATGATACTTAACATAATGTTCAGGGGCAACTAACACATTTTAAGATTTTTATATCTTACTATAAAGCATTATGAGAAAGCCTTGATTGATCAAAATCATGATGGGTTATGAAGCGCAATATTAACAGTCCAATTGTGAGATTATAGAAGTAACAGGAGTCAGTATAATCTTTGTGCAAAGATCAAAGATACAATGGAAAACATAGTTGCTGATCAACAGTGATAATCTCAGAAAAGATAATATAAAGAGATGAATCTTTCAATGAAAGTCATTATCACTACTATTGTTTGTCATTGTACTGATTCCTCTATCAACAATATGAATAATTCAGACCATATCTATCAAATATCAAAAACATCTGCCAGACTATCCCAGTTCCTTTATATGGATGATCTAAAGCAGTACTGAAAAACACCATCTCAAATAGAATTGCTGCTCAACATTATATATATATATATATATATATATATATATAAAACCAAGATACTGCAATAGAGTTTGTCACTCATATCATCAGCAGGGGAAAAATAGTGAAAACTGAAGGAATCAAAGATGCCCTTCAAAAATAACATCAGGGGTCTGGATGAAGATGATTACTACAAATACCTGGGCATCCTTCAAGCTGACAACATCAAGCATAATAAAGTCAAGAAAAAGATCAGAAATGAATACATCAAGAGAGTGAAGATGATCTTAAAGTCCAAACTCAGTAGAGGAAATACAACAAGACAATGAACACCTGGGCAATTCCAGTCATTATATACATAGCTAGAATAGTAAACTGGACTTGAGCAGAACTAAAACTCTGAACAGGAAGACCAGAAATATAATGACAATGAATCATGCCTTTCATTCAAGCAGCAATGTTGACAGACTCTACTTATAGGTGGGCGTGGAATGTTGCAAGTATAGCAGACAGTTGAAGAATTAAAAAGAGCATTGGAAGAATATTTGAAGGACAGTGAAGAAGATACACTGAAGCTGGTATACCCTGAAGTCTTACTGAGTTTTGGAGAGACCAAATTGGCTTACCAAAAAAGACTAAATGAAAAACAGAAAAGAGATGTGGTAAGGCAAAGTATTACCACTACCTTAAAAAAAAAAAAAAAAAGGCAGGAAAAGCAGATAACAAGACCAGGCAATGATTAAGAGCAGGAAAATTGATGAAAGAGACAGAGGGGCTAATTCTGGAGAAGGGCCTAATGCTGGGAAAGATTGAGGGCAATAGAAGAAGGGGACGACAGAGAATGAGGTGGCTGGATGGGAGTCACTGAAGCAGTAGGCGTGAGCTTAAATGGACTCCAGAAGATGGTAGAGGACAGGAAGACCTGGAGGAACGTTGTCCATGGGGTTGTGATGGGTCGGACACGACTTCGCAATTAACAACAACAACAACAACAACAACAACAAAAGCCTTAAGAACAAATGCATACAAAGTCAGAATTGAGAAGACAACAACTGACAGCAAATGTCACCTCGACAAAGAAGCTGAAGAAACAGTGGGCCACCTAATTAGCTGCTGCAAGAACATTTCACAGACTGACAATGGCAAGACAAAGTAGCAACAATTGTGCATTGGAATATCTGCAAGAAATCCCATTTGCTTGCAAGCAAGAACTGGTGGGACAATAAATAAACAAAGTAATAGAAAATGAAGAAGGTAAAATGCTCTGGGACGTTAGAATTTAAACAGACAGGCCCCTGCTACATAATAGAATTGTTAATAAGAAACACAAAAAAGTCTGGATTGACATTGACGTATTATAAAAATTTATATGAAGAAATGTTGGAGCCATTAAAGGAGCTTTTTAATAGTATCTTGCTGGGAGCACAAGTTCCTCCTTCTTGGAAAAGAGCGTTTATATCATTGATTCCGAAGGAGGATCAAGATCTTACAGAGCCTAAGAATTATAGGCCGATATCATTATTAAATGTAGATTACAAGATTTTTACAAAAATTTTGGCAAATAGATTAATGCAGGTTATGAAGGATTTGATTCACAGTGATCAATCAGGATTCATAACAGGGCGATACATGAAATATAATGTTAGACAAATTATTAACTTAATTGAGTATTTGGATAAGAACAATCAGATTCCTGTGGCTTTTATATTTTTGGATGCTGAAAAAGCCTTTGATCAATTAGATTGGCAATTCTTATTCTCACTGGTAGAGAAAATGAATTTTGGGGATAATTTTTTACATGCACTTAAAGCTATATATCAGCAACAATCTGCTCAAATTGTTGTTAATGGGGGATTGACTGAGACTTTTAATATTGAAAAAGGGACAAGACAAGGATGTCCATTATCTCCATTGTTATTTGTTTTAACATTGGAGATTTTGTTGATCCAGATTCGAGAATCAACGGTAATCAAGGGCATAAAGATAAGAAAAAATGAGTATAAATTACGGGCTTTTGCGGATGATTTGGTTTTGATTTTGGAACAACCGATTAGAGCGGTTGATTGTCTATTAGAACTTATAACACAGTATGGAAAAGTTTCTGGTTTTAAAGTCAATAACCATAAGACTAAGATATTATCTAAGAATATGTCAGCCAATGACAAGGAAAGTTTGGTTAAAGCCACAGGTTTTCAGATGGTGAAAAAGGTTAAATATCTGGGAGTATATTTAACTGCCTCAAATGGAAAATTGTATAAAAATAATTATGAATTACTATGGGCAAAAGTGCAAAAGGATTTAAATGACTGGAAAAAACTGCAATTGTCACTGTTGGGGAGAATTTCAGCTGTAAAAATGAATGTTCTACCAAAGTTTCTTTTCTTGTTTCAGATGATACCTATTTTAAAAAAAGATGTAAATTTGGAGGAATAGCAGAAGGGTATCAATAAATTCATTTTGGCTGGGAAAAAAACAAGGGTTAAGTTTAAGATTTTGCAAGATGCCCGAGAAAGAGGAGGACTTAAAGCATCTAACTTGAAATTATACTATGATGCAGCCGCCTTAACTTGGATAAGTGATTGGCTTAATTTAACAAATAAGGATATTCTTGCTCTTGAAGGGTGGGATTTAATATATGGTTGGCATGCATATTTAATTTTTAATAAGAAAGTGGACCGGGCTTTCAAATTACATATTTTGAGGAGTGCCTTACTTCGAGTTTGGAAAAAGTATTATTATAGGTTAAACTATAAAATACCCATCTGGGGGATTCCTAGACATGCAATTGAGGGGATTTCTAAGGGGATGAACTTTGATAAAATTTCGTATAAAGAATTATTAACTTGGTCAGGTTCAGATTGGCATTTAAAATCTCTAGATGTATTAAGGCAAGAAAATATTCTACAGTCATGGTTTTAATATTTACAAATAGTGGACAGGTGGACTGTAGATAAGAAAGAAGGAATAACACTAGAAGATGGAAATCTGGTTATTCAGATTAAAGATCAGAGTCAGGCCCATATAAAAAGAATTTACAATGCTTTAATAGAATTAGACTCTGAAACAGAATTGGTTAAAGACTGTATGATTAAATGGGCTCAGAATATCCAGGATCCGATCCCATTGGACTTATGGGAGACAATTTGGATTAGAAATGTTAGATTTACACAAGCTCAAAATTTGAGGGAAATTTTTTATAAAATGTTTTACAGATGGCATTTAGATCCTAAAAAATTATCTTGTATGTATCCAAATTTACAACCCAAATGTTGGAGATGTGGTAATATGGATGCGACATATTTTCATGTTTGGTGGAATTGTAAAAAGGTAAAGGCTTTTTGGATTATGATCTGGTGGAACATTCAAAAGATTTTTAAAAGGAAGATAAAGTTCACCCCTCAATTATTCCTATTGGGTATCTTTGTGGATTTAAATGACAAAGAAACTACTTTAATGTTGAATTTATTAACTGCAGCAAGATTATTAGTAGGCTCGTATTGGAAGAAGGACTTGTTGCCTACTTTAGAAGAATGGATATTTAAAGTTTCTAACTTTGCAGAAATGGCAAAAATTTCTGCTTATTTGAAGGATCATACACAAGAAAGATATATTATTGTATGGAGAAGATGGATAGATTATATTCAGAAAAAATATGGAACTATAAAGTTCCATTTACTTTATGAGTAAATGTTATAGTAACTGTTGTAGAGATTTGTTTATATGACTTAATTTAAGGGGAGTTAAAGGTTAAGTATGATGTTTTTTTTCTTTTTTCTTTTCTTTTTTTATTATTGTTAACTTCCTTATTAATAACCCTGTACTCTGCTCTGGGAAGCGAGGGGGGGAGGGTTGAGGGTGGGTGGGTGGGTGAGTGGGTGGGTAATGATAATATAGTCATGGTAAATGCTTGGGCATTTCCCTTATGCTGCGTTCATGTGTGTGAGAGGGATGAGAGGGGAGGAAGGAGTAGGGAGGAAGTAGGATGGTTAGAGGAGAAGGGGAGGGGAAGAGAGTAGGAGGGGAGGAGAGAAAGAGGAGGGAAATAGGGAAGGATTAGAGAGGGT